TGACTGTATATGGTGGTGTTGGTATTGGTGGTGGTGGTGAGGTGGATGGTGATGATCGATAGTAACACACTAACCTGGTATCCATTCCAGTCGTCTTGGTGATGTTGGCCCCAAACTTTCTGGACATGCAAGTTCACCTTGGCAATATCGCCAATACTAGGCTCGTCAATTTCGGCACTTCCATAGCTTCAAGAAATTGAAATAAACAACGGTTTTATTTTTATAAATTAGCCCGCGAATTACAACAGACATTCATTCAAGATCCATCATGTAAATTTGGTAAAATTGACTGCCTGCCTGCCTTCCTGCCTGCCTGTCTGTCTGTTAATCTGCCTGTTTTCAATCTGTCTGAGTATCTGTATGTCTGTCTGCCTCTGTCTTTCTTTGCATTTCTCAAAAGCAGAAACTCTGGCTCGCCACAGATAACGTACCTAAGTAATCTCCACAATAATCGAATGATATCATATGACCTACCGGCCTCTGCTGAAAGATTTCTTTGGCCACATCCACTTGGTCTTGGTTTTCCCATCAGCCTTGAAAGCTTCGAATCCAACCCAATGGTTGGTTCCTGAACTGGTTTCAACGTTGGTAATCCACGATATACGATACTTTCCTGTAAGTGTATACAGTTGTTTCAAAACAGAATGCAGCATATAATTATGACGAATACTGCGTAGTGAACCAGGACAGAACACAGGGTTAGATTATACCTTTCTAGCTTCGTTTTTTTGTTGTTGTTGTTGTGCACGTTTCAAAATGCCGCTCATGGGAGTTGATTTTTTTCATGTGTAAATATTTTGACATGTTCGCCATAAAAGATCAATTCTCAAGGGAATGGCATGTGATCTGAAATGGGCAATTTTGCATACGAATCTAAAAAGGTCTACTAATCTAAAATGCAAATGAAATCATTCTGTACTTACACATCTTGGATGTGTTATCTAAAGTATTCAAAGTATTTGGCTCCCAAAAGCTTTTGTTATGGTATTTACAAAAACTAGGGCTCGATCTGTGAGTTAGCCGTGCTCAGACTTAGATCAGCCCAGAGCTTATTACAGGGTTTGATTTGTGTGAGTTAGCCGTTCTCTGACTTAGATCAGCCCAGAGCTTATTACAGGGTTTGATTTGTGGAGTTAGCCGTGCCCTGATGTCCTTAGATCAGCCCAGAGGTTGTTTCAGGGTTTGATCTGTGAGTTAGCCGTGCCCTGTCCTTAGATCGGCCCTAGATCAGCCCAGAAGTGGTTTCGTAGTTCGAATATTATAAAGTATGAGGGTTTTTACCGTTAACAGAAGCCAAAGAGGACAAGGCCACTGCACAGAGAGCCATCATCAAGTGTTTGCAAGCCATCTTTTACTACCAATAAATGGAAGTAAAGTATAGTAATGGAAAAATACATGATAAGGTAAGTATTATAAGAATCACAATCGGAATAAGATGCGGAAGAAAACGAAACCATATATAGTCGACAGAGATAAACAACTGAAACACATGCAAAACACTGATGTCCAAAGAAAAAGGGGGGGGGGGGGGGG